TGAAGTTTTTTTGATGCTTATTTTAGTGCTTAAGTTTTTTTTGATGCTTATTGTAAGTTTTTTTTTTGATTCTCCGGTCTAGTTTTTTGATGCCTATTTAGTTTTTTTTTGATGCCTCACCCTAGTCACAGGATGTACCAGGAGCAAACGCAGCTGTATTTGCCAGTTGTGTTGCCAGCCCCCATGCCGGTCCGCAGGCGTTTCTGGAGTTCAGCTTTCCGCTTTTCCTGAATCTTATCATCAAGTTCGTGGAGCAAGACGATGCGCCCGTTTGGCAAGGCCTGGTGCTTCTCTCTGAATCACGGATTCGGCATAGCCGGAGCCGGAGGTCTTCTCCTGTGTCTGGCCATGTTCTCCACCGAGGGCCTCTGCGCCCGGCTCCCGGCTTCTGAAAGCTTCGGGAATTCAGAGGAGAGGGTCCAGGGGAGAGGGTCCAGTGGCCTTGGGGGTTCATAGGTTTACCTGCGCCATCCTTCGCCCGGTGCCGTCTGTGGAAGCTTTCCATAACGTTGTCCTCGCAACTTACCTTGGCGGAGTCTAGGCAGAGACCTTTAACGACTTTGCATCGCGAAGTGTGTCCCAAGTAGGCTGTGGACCCAATCGGCTTTCAGATGTCGGATTGGGTTTAAGCTTACAACTAGTGATAGTAAACAAGCCCAAATCGACTTGAACATCTTGAATACCTCCGGCGTCAGTAATATGTCACTGTACAGATGATCCAAACCCTTACGGTGCATCCCGAGCACTTCAGGGACTTGTTGATGCTGCTGCGTCGATTGGCTTGCAGACTGCCGGTCTCCGCATTCGGGCATCCTTGACGCTGGGCTGAGATGTAATTGTGCTTGTGACGATGGTTTGATGTCGGCACACCCGCGTGGTGGGCGGCCTTTAACGGGCCGAGCAGAGACGGGGGAGAGCGGGAACGATTACGGGTGTACTGTGCACAGAAGAGGAGGAGGAGGAGAACCACGTTACACGCTGCTGATCAGAGTCCATGTGGCTGGTGCGATCATGTGTTGTGGTTCCAGTGGTAGCACTTCCGACTACCATCATTTGTGTCATTGTCATTGTCACCATAGCTGTCAGTGTGATTTAAGGTTCCTTATCATAAACACTTTTGTTGGCAGTTATGCTAATCGTGAGTTCGGTCTGCTTTCGACCAGCAAGACTACTAGTGCAGCACCATCAGCATTTGCTTAGACCCTGACGAGATGAATTTTCGATCGCAGCTCATCAAATTCGATCCCTCGTATTGAGCCTTCGTGGAGAGGAATTCCTTCGCCATGAGCGAGGTCGGTGCAACGTCGAGCGTTTTGCGGGTGTTCCAATGCAATCAGCAACCAGATTTGGGTGTAAACTACTTGGGAACCGGCTTGGAGTCGGAGTTGATTTGCGACTTTGCATAGTGGATTGCCACGTAGGCTGGGGCTTTTGCTTTGATCGCCCACCTCGAAGCAAACAAGCACTTTGCAATTACATCTCGGGCATATCCGTGTGTCTGGGCGAGTGAGTAGAACCTGCTTCCCGTCAGAGGACGCTCGCTTCAGCGCCCCACGCATAGCTTATTGCGTACGACTGAAATCCAAGAAAGGAGCTTGGGACATTCTGGCATTCAGCCGCAGGCATTCGGCCTCCCTGCAAAGCCGCCGCACAATTTGGAAGTCGAGGAAGAACGAACCAAGTAGATCATATCATCTGCTGCAAGCGCAGCAGACCGCAGACAGCACCGCAACCATCTGTGTTCGAGCTGGGGTTAACAAGCAGGAGTAGCAAATCTGCGATCCAACAAGATCATGTCCTCATCCTATTATCGGACTTTGAGACTTTGAGAGTGCATCAGCAGGGCTGACCACCCAGATTCGTGAGTATGTTGCAAGAAGCTCAGTCGAAGCACGGTTCACAAAATTGCCAAAGGCGTGGAGTCCTCAGGTAGCGTTGTCGCTGAGCCAGTGCTGCGTAATCTGCCGAGCAGAGGACATTGCGAGGTGCATGACTGACGTTGTACTCATGGCATTTGTCGTTGCAGAAAATATTCTCGGACTGCACGTCCTGGAAGTTTAACTTACCCGCTTGCAAAACTGAGGGTGTCTGCAATTTTTCGGAAAGCACTTCTGGCTGCAGTTAAGTTTGTTGGGGGATGTAACGAAATGTGGACTGGAATTAGGATGATCTGAGGTTGTACTGCTGCGGCAAGACGCTATGTCACTTGGCAGTGTTTGACAGTCGGGATGCCACGCTTGTGCCATGGAGCTGAGGCTCAGCTTCTCCACAGGCAAGTTGAACAACATGATTACAACAGACGTGGACAAAGCAAAACGCGCCCGCGGCTCAGTGCCCCTCCCACGAAGTTTTGCCCAAACTCAGAATCTTGTGCTTTGGTCGGTCTGCTGAGGCCCTGCGCTCTCTCCATGTGCTGTTGCTCACAGCCTCTGCCTAAGCTTTCATTCCCAAAGAGTCTCATAGATCCTTGTCCCGAGCCTGGGGCCATAAGTTTTAGCCCCGGAATCGTGCGGGAGTGATGCTCGTGGCCTCGTGGAGTTGTGTCAGGGCGATGTTCAGCATCATGGCATCGCAGCATAGTAGTATCGTATAGTATCATCATCGTAAGGCAGTCGCGAGAGCGGAGCAACAGGGTTCGCACATGCATCGGAAGTTCTGCTCAGGCACCAATGAAGATCTTCATTGCCCTGTGGTCTCTGCACAGCTTAGTTGGCCCCTCCGTCTTCATTGGACTGAGCTGGATGGGTGTGGACACTTGCCTGAAATGTGGACGCTAGCCAATGTTTTCTCGAGAACACTCGTGTCGTGTGGAAGTTTTCTACATCTTTTCAAGACCGAGAGCGAACTTGTGCAGTGGATATCCTCTGGCTCTGAAACGATGGCCTTTGCCGAGGTGATTCTGTTAAATCCGGCAGCATGGCTACCATAAGGTTTCAGCTCTTAGTGTTTTTAGTCCTGAATTCTCACGACCGCCCAGCTTTGAAACCTGGGCCTGAGCGAAGCTGCCGTAACACCCTTTTGATTGGGGACTTTTTCAAGCCGAATGAGTGGCAGGAACAGTTGATTCATCTGAAGTGCCGTAAAAGCCAAGCGAGCGGAAAGAAACGAGAGCAAGGCCATGATGTACATCATGAACCGGTTGGAGGATGCACAACAGGCGACGACGGACGAGCGAGTGCGCAAGGTCACAGAGGCCACAAGCCTGCAATCAAGAGTCTCTCTCTCCTCATATGCTGCCCGGGGTTGCTTCGGCATGGTGCTCGGTGAGGAGGAGCAGTGTTTGGTGTTTGTGGACCTTCCCCCTTGTAAAGCAGCAGGCATAGCAGAAACCACCGTAATTAGTTTTTTCAGCCTCATCGATACCTTAAGTGGGGGCCGGCGTCGAAGTTGAACGCGCTGCTTGGGTTCAAGCTGCACCTGCGCCTTCGGATCCATCGGAAATTACAAGGGGTGCGGCTCCTCGAAGATTCTGCCTCCCGCCAGAACTGACCCACTCCGTATGGGTCCATCACGACTTGGTCCGAGCATCCGAAGAAACCCTCTGACCCACAAATTACGCGGGATCGGTCGTCCGAACGAGGACGCGGATGGCCTCTTTGCGGACCTCGCCTACCAACCCCCCAAAATTCTTGCCCACCCCCCGGTTTGTTCTTTCGAATCTTGGATGGGACACAGTCGATGAACCTCGCCCAGAGACAGATCCGTCGTCGACCGGAACCTTCTGGGAGCTCAAAAAACAGGTAGAGGAAAACTTGCACATTACAAAGGATTGTATGTTTCGGGTACAAAAATTCGTAGTTGGTGGAGACGAAGCGGAGTCTCCGGGAGGCCAATCCATTGTGAATTTTTTGGGCCCAAGCTGGGTTCGAGGCGAAGCCAGCTGTCGCATGGGAGGGCGAACCCAGTGTAACATGCAATAGATTGTGGTTCAGGTACAAAAGCATCTTAGTTTGCAGACAGGGAAGGTTGTATCCAGAGCACGATCCATTGTAAATTGCAGTACACCATGGGCCGTGTGTGCCTTATGCTCGGATTTGGGGTGTGTGTGTATGTGTGCGCGCGCCGTATGCGCCTTAGATCCGGATCTGAGTTCGCCTTAGACACAACCTTAGACCCTGCTACCCCCCTTGAGTGCCGGCTCTCGGAGGTTATTTCCTCCATCAACGTCATCAAGTGCTATGGCTGGGAGGACTCCAGGGGTGCGCTGACTGGGCCGCATAACAAACAGTAGTGGCTCGTGTGCCACTGACAGGGAACCTGCATATCTGGAACTTATACCAAGAATTGCGGATAAGAACGTGCACATTACTTACGCACCTACATCTGCATGCATCCATACAGCATGTAAACATGCATACACATCTGCACACTTACAACGGTGTATATGCATGCATGGGCATGCACCGCATGCGCTCATGGGTCTTCGATGGTCTTCGTATGAGTGAGTCTGTGAATGCGTGCAACAGGAGCCCGCCACCGCCAAGGTGGAAGTGGCGCGACGCAAGGAGCTGTCAGCCTTGTGGAGGCTCTACTGCCAGGTTCCCAGGGAGCCGGGGCCGAGCCGGGCGCGCGTGCACGTCTCTTCAGAAGTTCAGAATCTGGCAGTGTGAGGCCTCTACACGGTCTTCGAAGGGATGTGGTCCAGCGTAGCCTGGCGCTTACTCTCGCTTCCGAGATGCTCTCTGAACGAACAAGACGGCTTCGCCCAATGCACCTGCAAGGTCCCTTGCTGCACTGCCTTGATGTTTGCTTCCTACTCCTGGCTGTTCCATGGCAAAGTCAAGTCACGAGTGTTTGGGTGCAGGGTCTTGGGCTCGGCAGAGAATGGTGTTTTTTTTCTGAGATTGTTTTCAGCACAATGCACTGGAGCTTGTAGTTGCGTCAACCATCCAAAGGCATCAGGGCCCCAAGTCATTCTGCCGCGACTCTCGTGACCGCGGACCGAGGAATCCAGACAAGCCCCTCACTCCGTCGCAAGCTTTCACCGCCATGAGCCTCCTGAGCATGGTCCAGGACACGTTCGCCCACTAGCCTTGGGCCTTGAGCCTTCTACTCGGGTTTGGAGTGTTCAGGATCCGCTCTTCACCATTCCCTGGGTGCTGAACCTCCTCGTTGAGGCCTCTTCCGTTCTGACTTGCTGTCCCTGTGAAGAGTCGCTGGTGCTTTCCGTTCAGCAGCCAGCGCATGTTTTTGTCTGAGTCCTCGGTGCCGATGTGCTGAATAGAACCTGAGGCCTTCGTTGCAGCCAAGCGCATTGAAGGCCGGTTCCGAAGCTTCGCCAGGAGTACAATCTTGGTGAGCCCTTGTCCATTGTTTTGCACAGCGATGTCTAGAAGTCATGTCAATGTTTCCTTTTCTGAACGGCTATTTCCTGCACAGCCCAAGTGCGTTGAAATCCTTGCCCAGATCCATGAGCCGCGAGCCCTTTCGCCATGTCTGGGCAGGGCTCTTCTGGCTGAGCGAGTCTTCTCTGCCAGCAATCTCGGCTTTGGGGAGCTTCCTCCCAGTGCAGGAGGTTCGGGTTTGGGGCTGTAAGAAAAAGGCCTCGCAGGGGATATATACTATGCTGTTGTGGATCGCATGTGGGATGTTGTTTCTCTGTGCTCTTCCCAGGGCGGAGAAGGTGAGGTAGAGTCAATTGTATTTTCTCTGCAGGAGCGGCGTCAGCCTTCGGTGGCCAGCATGGTCCCTCCTCTGAAGCTGGACACCGGATCCGCCATTCGCCTCGACCACGCCTCCTTCGTCTGGAAGGATCAGGCCATCACCGCTCCTTGTGTTTCTTTTCTGTAGGAGCCTGCAGCAAGCGTTGCAGGCGCAGTCGTTGTTGTACCTGTGGTCGTCGCGGCAGCAAGACTAATGACAGCAGCCTCCGCACTTGGACCAGCAAGAATGATGAAACGAAGTGAAGGAATCACAGGAGAGAGGGGACTAACCACCGTGCGAGCTCTATGAAAAACTCACCGTTCATCTTCACCAAGATTAACATGATCTTTCGCATGTCAGAATGCATGTGAGAATCGTGCCGAGTGATCGTTCGAGTGGAGCAATGGATGAAACGCTAGTTTGTTGACATGTTCGTCGTCGTTGTGTCGTATGCGGTCGCCGTCGCCACCATCGCCACCGTCGCCACCGTCATTGTCGTCGTGGTCGCAGAAGTGCGGAAGTAGGAGTAACAAGTAAGTTTTGCCGTGGATGGCAGTGGTGGGGCTAAAGCAGGAAATAGTGACATCAGCGACAAGAACAGTGGACACCGCGGTAATGACAACATCACTGTTGGAGATGGGTTTGGCAGGAGCAGCCCTCATGGTGGCGACATTTGCCAGATTGAGCTGACAAAATACCGTGGGATGCAGCTGCAAAGCCCCGGATTAAGTTCCGAACATTCTGGGGACCCGTTAGCTACGAATTGTGCAGCTCAGCACCCGTAAGCAAACGCATGATCTCCATCATAGACCCTTCGGCCGAAACCTCGCAGCTTGGAACGATGTGGTGTGGAGCCTGCAAGCCAGGAGCCTCGAGAACGCAGTCAGCCGACTTCCTTGGAGGAGGGAGAACAGCGAGGCAAGTACAGCCGATCTGGGGAGCGCCAAGGTTTTCCGCTAGAGGAGGCCGATTCAAAGAGCATGGAAGAAGCGAGTTCACGAGGTGCAGAACTCGTACGGTCATGTTCATGGTAAGCTGTTGTGGATGGCTGTTCTCATGATTGTCGCTGCGCAACTCTCTGCAACAACAGCAGCAGTAGCAAGGCTACAGTAGCCGTCGTTCCAATGCGCTGTGGTCTTTCAAACGAGCGCGAGACTGTTGAACCAGTGGTGTCAATGTGCTCACCGCGGATTTTCAGAGTTCTTGGGGATTTCCGGCAGCTGCACTCCAGTCCACTGCACGGCTCAAGGCTCAAAGGTTGTTTCCCAGATACCCTAGTATGAGTTTTTTTAGCAGTAATCTCGACAGTGCGCATGAGTCATGAGGTGCGTTGTTCGTGTTGGCACGTTGCTAGAAGCCCTGGGTCCCCCCGATGTTGGTCACAGGTGACTTTCAACTCCACGATCTGACCCTGCACGTGACTTGGGCTGAAGAACCGTAAAAATGTCTGACCTCGTTTGATAATAGAGTGTCGAGAGCATGGTCGTCTGTCTCCGGTCAGATCGCCCCAGAAGCTAAGGTTCAGAAGGGCTCACTTGTTGCCGTGGTGGGCCCGACGGGCTCAGGAAAGTCGTCTTTTCTGCAGGCGCTGCTGGGCCGGCAGCTTAAACTTCACACAAGGGCCGGAGAAGGAGACCGACACTGTGTCAGTTCAGCAGCCGATGCAGTGTTTAGTCTGGCAGGTAGAGTCAAACCCGACAGGTACTTAACATCAGCTTCCGTGTGGAACGGAAGCTGCACCGAGACAATTGTCCAAAGGTATACCAGAACCCAGAGCTTCCCGAGGTGAGATGCTAAAGAAGGACGGATCTGGCAAAGTCGAGGCTTGGCAAGGGAGTCTGCAATCTCGACAGAAGCAATACTGCTGAGTGAGCTCTTCCGAAAAAGGCCCTTAAGTTAGGCTTCGTGGGACCACTGATGTCAATGCTTTGACCTTGTCGGATGTTGGCAACTTAGAAGCTTTCACGTGACGATGCCCCGTCTTTTTCCTTGTCGGTGCAGTGCAGAACCCTCCGGCTACTCCAGGGCCGTGTGCTGTAGCGACGTGTCTTGTAGTTCTTTTGTGCCCTGTACTCAAGCTCGTTCGGGCACTTGTACAATGCTTTCCTTGCGTTTCTGTTTTAATCACTAGGCTGACATGAAGTGGAAGATACAGTGCTTTCCTTTGCACAGGTGTCCCGGGCCAAGCCAATCGCCTTCGTTCCACAGCAGCCGTGGGTCTTTAACGCCACGACGCCTGGAAGCAGCCATGTGCTACTGATAGCTTGCTGAAGCCCGCTCTGCTTGAACGTAATACTGATTAGATTGAAGGCATATTGGCGCGATTAAGTTGAAGATCATCCTCGGAAGGTAGGTCTGCGCTCTGCTTGCACCCAAATTCCAACGAGACATCTTGGTCTCCGAGGATTCGACAAAACATCCTCTTTGGGGAGCCATACTCCGAGGCCGGGCAATTTTGCAATATTTTGGAAGTCTGGGCGCTTTTTTGGTGTTGCTCGCTGCTTTCTCGTGAAAGCGCCTCGACTTGAAGTCTTGCCGAAACGCCTGGTACTGTGACCTGTGAGCTCGGGCCTTTGTGGTCAGATAGTACAACTTGTGTCGCCTCTACGACTCCTTCTCTGAGCCGCCCCGCAGAACCTCTACAGAGAATGCCTCCGAAGCAGCGACTTGGAGCAGGCGGCTCGGTTCGGGAGAGTTGGGCGGCTCGGTTCGATCTTGACCACTGGCAGGGCGTAGGGAAGTCTAGGTACTGGACAAGGCATGGATGCTGCATTGGCTTGGTGCAGCTCAGAATCTGCCATGCAAGCTTGACCCGACTACGCTAGTGCAAAACAGACGCAGCAATGCTGCCATCAGCCAGGTCCTATGGGATCGGGTCCCCCAAATGTCGGAGACCCATTGTTGCGCTCCCCAGTCTGGTTTGTTTTGTAGCAACACTCTCCAAAAGAGGATAGCTCAGCAAGCTGCAATGATGTAGGCCAAGGTTCCGAAGATGGGGATCGTGGCTGCTTGAGCTTGGGGTAGATCGTCTGAAGTTCAGACGCCACTATGCCAACCTATGGCAATGACAAGCGGTCAGTTGAGCGCCTCTGTAGTCCCAGTCAATGTGTGTGTGGGTGTGTGGGTGTGTGCGTGTGTGTGTGTGTGTTCTGTCAGGACCTGAGAAACCTTCAGGCTGGCGACCAGACCAGGGTGTCTTTGCCAGCAGTCAGAACATTCACCTGACCAGGGCACGGTGGTGTACAGGACTCGTGCGACAAGTCAGTTGGGAAGTTCATCGAACGCCGAAAGGCTGTGACTACAAATAGAAACAGACTGCCTGATCCACGGCCAATATCCACACCACAAGTCACATGCACTCCGTTGCCAAGGTTGGAGAGAAAGGCATCGCCCTCAGCGGGGGACAGAAAGCTCGCATCTGCCTCGCGCGTGCGGCTTACAGGACTGGGCCTCATGGGCGGATGTCGGCTTTGGTGTGCTATTCTTCTTAGCTAGCCTTCATCTGGTTTTGTGTTAGTTATTGTCTTGAAAGCAGATTAGGAGATTTCCATATCATGAATGCAGCACTTGAGGCTCGAAGGAAGATGTAAGTGAGCACATTGCGGCTTTGTCAACGCAACCTTTTGAAATTGCTCGTTGGACACTTTTTGCTGTCACAGTCTTTCCTGCTTGTCGGGCATCCGGGAGCGGGAGCTGCTGAGCATGAAGAGCAATCCTGCAAAAATCCCGCAGCACAGGGTCATTGGGATGTTTCCAACAGCAAGAGGACCCCAAACAGCTCACCTGGCCTGTCAGGATGCGCGACAGCAGCATCTATCTTTTGGATGATCCTTACAGTGCATTGGACTCGCGGGTTGCGTGGAGATGCCACGAGGAGATGGTTGCAGGCCTGCAGTTGGGGGGTGTTAGCATCTGGAGTGGTTTCAGTGATGAAAGCGGTAGTGGTAGGTGCCTGGCAGTGCAGCCCGATGCTGACGCCGACAACAACGATCTTAACCATTCTTCGTCAGAATTTCCCCAGTTTGAAGCACGAGCAGGATCGCTTCCAAAACTGGCCCAAAACCCCAGTATTGACCAGGCCAGCTGTCTCGGAAGACCCGCATCGTGGCGATGAATAGGCTGGGCTGCATTGCGGGCATGCTTTTTCAAAGCGGGGGCGCCTCTCTGACTCAGATCCGCTTTCGTCAGGAGCTCATATCGGGTCGGTAGGTACCAGTAGCAGTAAGACAGTAGGAATTCTGTTAGGACTGGAATTTCGAATTGAGTCATGAAGCCGCACGTGTTCTGCTCAATTGACCCCAGGCTGGAGTTCTTGAGCTCCTGTGTTTCCTGGCAGAGAAGCCGAAGGGCAGATTCTTGGGAATCCTCGAAGAGCGGGAGATGCTTCTAGCAGATTCTAGCATCTTGCGAGTACGGTCGCCCAAAGTCTTGAGCAAAGCAGCCCCAGGCTTTCCACGGAGCAGGAGGCATTCTTGCAAGGAAGGATCGTGAGCTGAGGATCAAGTGGTCGTCATGTCCAATGGGCAGATCGAGGCCGCGGGACGCTACCAAGAGGTGGTCAGGAGCAGCTCCGTTCTTCAGGCCCGTTCGCAACGTTGAGTGCTTTCCTGTGCTTTCCGATTATTCCGAATGCAGTATCAGATCCGTTCAGTCATTGTTTCATAATAGTAGATCCGGTCGGCATCTGTCAAGTACAGCAACGTCTAATGATAGTCCTCCGCAGACTCAGTAGATGCAAGCCAGGCGCTGCTTACGTCCCAGGGCCTAGCTGAGAGCGCGCGCGCACAGACGCAGATGGCGATGGAGCCCCTTGGCCCTCAGAACTTCGGAGCCTGGCACAACACCTCGGGTCCAACGTAGCTCCGTTTGCCAGCCGAGGCCCTCGAATTTCTCCCGTGCCGTCAGCGCCGGCTCCGCTGGCTCTGCAGCTGACGGACAGAGGGAGGAGGCCAGGGCTTGTGAAGGGAGAGACTGAACAGTCTTCCGCATCAATCCCCTTCGACTCCGATCACAGCAAGTTGAAATCAGCTTGTCACCGCAAGCCCGGGCACGGATGTTTCGGCAAGGACGATGAGGACGACGAGGAAGCAGAAGGCTTGGAGGAGGAAGAGAGAGCCACCGGTCAGGTCCAGACAGAAGCGGCCAAGCGGCACCGTAATCCTTCCCTATACTGTGCCTTACTAGTGTCTAGTTTCTGTACCAGCAGCTCCGAACTCCTACAAGACCTCTGCTTATGTTGCTGTTTGCCACCATGGCTTTCGTGTACAGTTGCAGCCCCCTTGAACTATTGCCTGGATTTCCTTGTGGATGCGTCTTCGTGTGTTTCTGAATCAGGTTTTCAAGTACTACTTTCGGGCAATGGGGGGCTGGTGCCCCGTGTCCTTCCTCGCCGCGCTGTACTTAGGCACTTGGGGCATGGGGCGAACTGTGCCATCCGTTTCTTTGTAGATGCATGTAGCAGGAAACTTAAACAAGAAGCTGTGCAGTCACATTTTACTGAATCTCGAGCTGCTGAAGACGGTCGTCTATTAAAGCCCCAGGCCCCTTGCACTGACTTGCGCACAGGCTCGGAGCTAGTGACTCTCAGCCTGCCCGTGTGGCTCGCTGTGTGGACGGCCGCCTCCACGAAGACCAGTGAGGTATCCCTGGACCAGACGCGGCTTGGCACAGAGCTGCCCTGCTGTTTTCGCTCCTGAGGATGATGGAGAAGGTGTACATGATCTTTTTCCTACACACTATAATATTCATATAATACAATATAAGATAACATAAGATAATGTAACATGATGTAACATAACATAACATATTACATTCGAATATACTATAATATAGTAAACATAATATGATATAATATATTATAAAGCAGTGTAATATATCAATATACTACAACATAACATAGTACAATATAACATAGTATAATTTAACTTAATATAATATACTATACTAGAATATATTACAGTACAATATAACATAATATAACATGGTATGTTATATTATCTTATGTTATATTGTACGATATTATATTATATTATATTATATTATATTATATTATAGTATAGTATATTATATTATACTATACTATA